TTACAGCTGGCTCGCAATGTGTGTTTGGTTAAGTGAGCGAGAAAAGGTATTACCGAGAGGAGGGCATGTGCCTAAGCGTTCTGGGTTGAGAAAATTTTCTGAAATATGATGCGTAAAGGAGTGCCTTTGTTTTGTTATACCTTAACTGAAATGTATATGGTTTATCAGCGATTTTTTTAAAATGTCAAGAATTTTCACATATATATATATATATATATATATATATATATATATATTTGTGATGGAAAGCCAGAAACCGGAACATACGTGGACTATATCCGTAAAGCTTTCGTACCTGTCCCGTTATGACAATTTCTAAGACATTGTACCCCCAATAATTTTGGAAAATTAACATCCATGCGTAGCTAAAAAACTAGAGAGTTTTAGGTCTTGAGAAGAGCAGGGCTGATTATCAAGAGCAGGGCTGAAGAGCAACACTGCACCGAATGATCTTCAAAAGACATTCTTCAGCTAAAAACCCCACACAAATGTGGGGCACTCACCTTAAAGCTCGAGCTTAGGCTGAGTGTTGGGTCCACCAATCGAATATAAAGCTACGTTTCTGCGCAACGATGCAACGCATCGGCCTTTTTCGGGCTGATCGGCATTATTAGACTGATAAACCACCATCATCAAAAGAGCTTTCTTACAGCACCCCTTCTTTCACGTTCCTGTACATTACCTTTATTCCAAAGACATGAAAAAGTTTTTCCATTTTCCATGTCAATCCGTTGACATGAAAATTCCGTGCTATCTCTTCTCCAACGGAGCCACGGGCCTCTAAATAACATTACGAGATTTGCGGAGTTAGCTCCGGCGCGCCTGGTATGTAATGCTCGTGCATTAGCGCCGCAATTGTTTGATATAAAGGGCAATAAAGCGGAAGATTATGCAAAGCAGCCTGTTGTTGGCGTGACGCAGATTTGGCCGGGCGCCGAACACGCCACAGCCGAGCCCCACGGACACCGGCCGCGGCGTATCAGATTGTAGGCGACGATGGCGAGGAAGTACCACGGCCGGGCAGGGGTACAGCAGAGCCCACGGACACCGGCTGCGGCGTGTCAGACTGTAGGCGACGATGGCGAGGTGGTACCGCGGCCGGGCAGGGTACAGCAGAGCCAACGAACACCGGCTGCGAGTCGGCGACGATGGCGAGGTGGTACCACGGCCGGGCAGGGGTACAGCCGGGCCCACGAACACCGGTCGCGGCGGTGATATCAGGTCACGGGCCGGCCGGCCGTACCAACCCAAAAGACGGCAGTCAGCGGCCAGCCGAATCACAGCCGTTTGGCCGATGTGTATCACTGGCTATATCTGCCCTTGACGTGTCGCGACGTTCGCATGTAAACACCCATGGGTACTTGGTTACGCTATGTTAAACGTGACGCTCCAAAACGAGCTGAAGTATCTAAATCTATGGCCCCCAAATATTGTTTTTTTCTGCTTTTAGCATAATTTGCAACCATATTGAAGCGCAACAATGCGTTCTCCACAAGCATCAGCTTGCTCACACCGTCTGTAATCGTTGTTAAACTTTGGTTGTCCTCCATCAGGCCCCTCCTCCCTTCCGTGCGTAACGTGGTTCATGGACGGCACCTAACTGCCGGTATGCGAGTATTCATGGCATGGCGTACATGGCGCTTGGTCCATTTTGTGTCAAGGAGAACAAATTAAGGTAGTGCCATTTTATGGTTGTGTAGGGTTGCGCGTCCTTCTATTCCGACATGCATCCACATATGCAAACGCGACGTTACTATGCCTCGAAAAAGGCAAGATGGTAACCGGTGCTAGTATTTGCACTTGTGCAGCAACTGCCGCAAGTTCTCAGCTGCTGCTACAGTCACACAGTACACTTTTTACCCTTTACCATCAGATATTACGAAGCGAACTGTTTTGTGCAGCATCCACGGACATCCGAGGAGCCCGTCGCTAAACAAGCCACCCGACCTGCCAGTCCGGCCTGGACATCACGTGCTCTGTGGACGGCGTTGCAGCAAACGATGACAGTCATTGTTACCTCATCGGCGCATGTACCCGTACCGACCTCAGTCGGCATCAGGTGGGCCGCTCGGCCAGCACCCGGGTGGTCCAGACGGACCCCCTCGGCGCGACAGCCCCTATGACAAACGCGGCCGTAGCTCGGGATTACCGGCGGCGGCGGCGCCAGGGCGCGGCCCTTTCACGCGCGCCCGGTCAATGGGGGCGCCCTGACGCGCGCGCCGCGCCGCGGCCGTATTTCAAACTTATTGGACCCGCGTGAAGCGAGCGCCGATGCCGTGCGTAATATTTTGATGTCCGTGAATGTGCGCTGCGGCCGCGGGGCCCGCCACATCTGCATAAACTGGTGATAGCGACGGCTCATATTGATGCGAGCGTGACCTGCTCCGGGTCAAGGCCTGCCGGGTGTCATCCGAGGCCAGGATACCGCCGCTCATCAGGGCGGGTAGCACAGCCGGGCAGGCAGGGCGCGCGCTGTAGCTCGGCAGCTGGGCCGGGAGTGAGGTCTGGGCATCGCCCAAGGGCGCCACGGGGGCTGGCTGTGACAGTTTACGGTAAGAGTGAAGAACACCACCAAGGCGGTGCGGCGGTTTACAGCCGGGTGAGGAACACCGCCAAGGCGGAGCGGCGGTTTACGGTCCGGGTGAGGGGTACCGTCAGGGCGGGCCGTGTGATGGCCTACGGTCCCGGTGAAGAACATCGCTATGGCAGACCGTGTGACGGCTTACGGTCCGGGTGAGGGACACCGTCGGGGCGGGCCGTGTGACGGTTTACGGTCCGGGTGAGGTTTACCGCCAGAGCAGGTCGTGCGGCGGTTCACGGTCCGGGTGAGGGACACCGTCAGGGCGGGTTGTGTGACGGTTTATGACCCCCCCCCCCTTCCCTCCCAGTCAGCCATGTCGTAACCGCAGGCCGCGCTCAGAGCCAGCTGGCAACGTCAGTCGGGTACGGAGTTTGTAGGCGCGGTGTAGGCTGCGGTGGCCAACGACCACCGGTGGGACGGAAACGGCAGTGCCGGGCAATGGTGTTCTTGCTTGCAATGACTGCGACCGCGCAAGTCCGACGCTATATCCGATTTTGAAAAGGGATGCATGCCCTCAGACAAGCATGTGATGGCCACATCAGTTTTTTGGGCTCCGTGTCGATCTACCTTATTTGACACAAATGAGACCCATTCCCCTTGCCGGTCAGGGGGTGCCGTGAGTAGGACACTGAGGGGTACATCACGTTTCCCGGCCAGGGTCGGCGAGGCCCTTCTGTCTCAGCTCGGCGTACCCGCCGGCTGTCATTCTGACGACGCAGAGGTCGGGACCCCAGGTTGCTTCAGAGGCCTGCAGGGAGATACAAGATACATCGGCCCCGTCCTGGTGCCAGAGGCCCGCTAACCGGGGTCCTTCGACCAGGATCAAGATAGAGGTTCTCACCGACGCAACAGGATTTCTCAATGGCTCGAGGAATTCAATACTCGGCAAAGTAACTCCAGTTTTGGGTTATTGGGACCCTCACTGAAATGGAGCGGGGGGGGGGGGGGGGGGGGCGGCTGGCGCAGGGCCTTCATTGTTTTACTGCGAACTCTTTCATCGTAAGTTCTTACACTCCATTTCAAAGACAGAGGACCCAGTCTAAAGCAAGAGGCCTTCCGACATTCTGTGCCCCGTCCCTACTCCGAACAATCGATGTGCCCTTGGCAGCACGTAGACGGAGGCATTGTGTCCTGCCGCGGCCACCGAGTACCGTACCAACCACGTGAAGTCATTCGAGGGATGCTGCAGGCCTTCACGGCGTGAGCCAATCCATGAGTACCACACAGAGCAGCTAGGACTGCGTGGAGTACATCTTTTGGAAATTCGCGGGTACCAATGAGGTGTGGGTCGGAAAGCAGTGCACCAAGCGTCAGCTAGATGCCTCACGGAGTGCCACACAATGGCACAGGTTTCGCTCTTTTCAGGCACTGTTCTCTTCCTTCACGCGACATTTGCAATTACAAAGTCAGAAAGAGTAAATCCAGGCGTAAAATTGCACTGGCATTGTTCGCAATTTACGGGTAGTCATGCACAATAGACAAATGGCAAAGTCAGGCGTAACGTTGCATCAATGGCACGCAATCACAAAAGGCCATATCAAACAACGATGAGTGGTGACGGACGGTTACGACTCAATACGAATGGGTAGTGGGTAGGCAAGGCCACGACCTCACGCGCAGCGAGAGGATTTGGTCAAAGAAATTCTACTCATACAGGTCCCTTAAGTGGCACCGACACACACACATCACCACGAAAATGAAAGCACACGGAGTCAGATGCCTGGAATATCACATACGGCACCTGTTGTCGGCGTTCATGCCGTTGTCGCGCGCCGGCAAATACAGAAAGCACAATATGGAAGCTCGGCAGGCAAACCACGGCTAACGTCGTAGCTCAAGGACACAGCCGGCAGCGACACTTGTGATACTTGATACTTGTGGCCGCTTGAAGGTTCAGTGATGAACACAAAGGTCATGTCAGAAGTTCGTTCAGAGCGAAGTCCTCGGGGCTATGGCTAACACTTAGCCATGTACGCAAACGATCCCAGCTCCGTGGCATAGCTACAACGCCGATCAAGCGCTGCTGCTGACACATTCGTCTTTCCGGTCCCGGCTAAGCACTGCTAGAATAAACAACCATGCTCTGAAGATCAAAACCACTCAAAGCTGTGGGTCGGACCGCTTTTGTCTCACGCTGCTTCCTGCAAGGACCGCTCATCACTGTTCCACATTTTAAACGCATCGTTTGAACAATCCTAAAAGATTACTGCTTGCCGCAACACCTCGGCGGGGATTCACAAACGGTGACACAGAGCGACGACCTGCGCTTTGGTGTCCACCGCCCTCACATAACAGCCTTGCACGCATTCTCGCTGCGCCTGGGCCCGCGTCCGCACTGGCACCGCCTTCCCAGACCTGTAGCGGGGGCCATCAGGGCGCGTGGCGCCGGGCCTCGCCGCAGCTGACGGCCCCCGAGGCCTCATGAGGAGGCTGGCTCGGGTGCCGAGGCCCCGTGCGTGCTCAGGTGCGCGTTGTACGCCTCCTCGCGCACGAAGCTGGCGCTGCACAGCTGGCACCAGTGATTGGCGCGGTATGTGTTGCGGTTTCGGCCGCGACCGGCTGGAGCGGCCGGGCCGCGCCGCTGCTTCTGAGGCGGTGGCCCGGCGCCGCCGGGGAGCGCCGCCTCCTTGCCTGCCGACGAGAGTGCTTCAGCTCGCGTGCCAGCCAGGCCTCGCACGGCGGCGTCGCGTGGCAGTGCTCGTGCCAAGCGAATGTCGCCTGTTCTCCACTGCCCAGTCTCGCCTATTTCCCCACATGGAAGCTTTATGACCACCGTATCTCCGTCGCTTTGCCCGCGATGGCGACTTTTCAGCATGCTGGCATGACGCGGTGCGTTCCAAGTTCCCGCGAAAATGACACAACACGTATCGCGGCCTCCTAAACAGCTAGACCAAACTATGCGCTACAGCAGCCCGCGACAGCAGCTGTCTCCGAAGTGCTCAATCGAAACAGCAATGCCTTTTAACCGTTGTGTCAAAGCGTCAGGGACTCCATGTGATAAGGCAGTGACGTGCAGCATCGATCACAACTGGTCAAATCAATGAGACGCCTACACAAAATGAACGCGGAATATGTCGTGAGAGCTGTGCCGACCGACATACAAATTTACCGCCAATACAAACGTACATCAATATAGCGCACCGTTACTCCGTCTACGTAGACGTAGAGCGAATAACAAAGTAGGATACAGACGGCCTAGCTCGCGCCGTACCTGGCTGACAGGTGTCGCGCAATGCCTCCGTTCCTGGCGTCGAACCGTGCCGAACCCGGATATGCTTCACGACGTTCGCTGCAAGGACCATCGCGTCGAGAAGTTAGAGCAACAATGTCCAATGATTGCATGGACTGCAATCGAACTACAGCATCCAAGGTGCAGACATGTTGAGGTGCTTTCCATCAATACGTTCTCAACCACACCATACATCTACCCAGATTCGTTCGGGGACGTTACGCGGTGCGACCTTAACGCGCCGCCCTGCACCAGCCAGTTTTTGGGCGGTTGTACCCAGCCACCCCGCCGACCGACTGGACGGCCGGAGGACGTTGCTCACCTCTGAACGAGGAGGCGAAGCCGCAGATGTCGCACTTGAAGGGCTGCTCGCCGGAGTGGCAGCGCCGGTGGCGCTTCAGATCGCTCCTCGTGCAGAACGACTTGCGGCACTGGGGCTCCTCGCACCTGTACGGACTGTCGCCTGCCGAGAGAGGCGCGCCAGACACGGTCACGAGCGGCGCATCTCACCGGAGCGGGGCACTGGTGGCGACGCTGAGCATGCGAGCAGCGTGCGACGGAACAGGTCGGTCAAATGGACCACCGGCGTTTGCGCGCACCCCTAAAGAGTGCACCCAGCTGTTCAAGTAAGCATGCAGGTGCCTGGATCCCGAGTCCCAAAGGATCCTTCGACAAAATTAGGACAGCATACCAGCTTTCCAAGGATCTTTTAGCAATGTCATGGAAAAGGCCCGGACCTCAAAGGGCCCTTTGAAAACATTCAGGAAGGATTTATAACATGCTTCAACAGAAGCCCCGCTCTCGAAAGATCCGAGATGTCCAGATCTAACACCATGATCCACTTCAAAAGTTTACAACATAGCAATATGGCAACATACAACACAGCTCAGCAGGTTGGTTGGCCGCTTGGGCGTCCCAGATGTAAGCAAATGCGTAGACACACATGAGACCAGCGCTTTTCTATCGGCAGAAACAAGTGACATTCAGAAAGTGCAGTTAGAACATGACAACCATCGTACAACACTGCGGTAGTCCCGGCTCCCAGGAAAACAACGCATGCATCGTCAGTTTGTGTTTGATTATGACCAATGGCACTTCGGCCGCCGTCCGGCCAGCGAACAGAACGCACAACACATTGCGCACAGACTTACGCACCTGTTCACGTACAGCCTGTGTTTGCTTAATTGAAACTAACGACACCACACCTTGTTTACGACAACGAATTGCTGTTACACGATGGTGTCCCCACTGCTGCAAGTCGTGCGAGTTTGTGAGCCTCTGGTGAGCTTAAGAAATGATGCTACGAGCGCTGTTAATCGGTGTTAATGGCCTGTGCGCTGTTAGTCTGTGTATAACCCAGCACCGACTGACAGCTGTCCTCAATGACCTGTGTATGACCGAGCACCAACGCCGGTGTGACCCATCACCGACCTGTGCATGACCCAGCACCGACGCCGGTTTGACCCATCACTGACCCGTGTATGATCAAGCACCGACGCCGGTGTGACCCATCATCGACCTGTGTATGACCCAGCACCGACACCGGTTTGACTCATCACTGACCTGTGTATGACCAAGCACCAACGCCGGTTTGACCCGTCACTGACTTGTGTGTGACCCAGCACCAACGCCGGTTTGACCCATCACTGACCTCTGTGTGACCCAGCACCGACGCCGGTTTGACCCATCACTGACCTGTGTGTGACCCAACACTGATGCCGGTGTGACCCATCACTGACCTGTGTGTGACCGCAGGTGGACAGTCAAGTGGTACATATGTTTGGCCGAGTAACTGCATACTTGGCAGCTGAAAATGAAAACAGCTCATTCAGCACATGAGTGTTGGCATCAAACATCCAGAGCAAGACTGGCAAGCGCTCCTACACGAGTCCGGTGTGTTCGAAGGAATGCAACATCGCTGAAGGCATGAATGGGAACGTTCACAGGTGAGCTTGGGAGGAGTCAACTGTATTACAACATAGCACCCAGATTTTCCGCCCGAACTGTAATGTCAAAGACAGCTCTGTTTTTGACATTCCCGAACGTTATGCTGACTGTCCACTCATAGCGCATTCAGAGGGCTACATTTGGCACCGTATGTGGAAAACACCCGAAGTATGTTGTTAGAGCAAATAAGTACACCTAACACAACACACGTGCATCCACGAAACTTCAGCATTAAAAAGAGGATACTGAAAGCATGGTAATATGGACCGGATTAGCCTTTCGATTGTCCAAATGTGCCAGCAATGGCTCTTTTGCATTTACAGACACGTGTTAGGTCCAACATGAGCGCCATTACGGCGATTTATTCCATGCGTCTTGCAATGTCATTACGTAGTCTATTGCGTCATCCTGTTGACCGCACACTTTCAGCGCATTCAGAAAACCTAAGGTTGGAGTTGCATGAGGAAAAAACCGCGAATGCTGCTTCCATATATTCTTTTTGGACATTTCGGGCTCAGATGTTCTTTCAAATATGTTCTCTCTGTGCGCTCAAGACCCAGACCTTCTTTCACATTTATTCATTTTTGGACATTCTAAACGCTGCAATAGTTTATTCATTCTAGATTTTTACAGTCAGAGTTGTCTTTCCATAAAAGTATGAGTGCAGCACCGTTTCAACCACCCATGTATCACATTTGCTGTTGTGATATTGGCTTAGGAGCATGGGTGTAGTTCCCTACTCAAGGCGTCTTCAGCCCTCCCCCCTCCCCCAGCTTTGAGCAGAAAGTGGGAGGGGAATCCGGCGTCATCCCAAAATTATTATCTCAGAAAGGATCCTCTGTTAGAGTCTAAATAGGCTCTGTTTGCGAGATTCTGGGCCTAAAAACAGGGCCCCTTGCACAGTCTCGACCTTGAATGAGGGTTGGCTCAGAAGGGGGCCAAATTGGGTCGCCAGGGGTCCTCCAGTCAAGAGATTTCTTATCACTTCGTCGCTGTTTTTTCGCAAGCGTCTTTCTCCGAGGGTCTTGACATCCGAACAACGCTCTCCTAAGGCCCCGAAGTCTTAAGACAACCTCGGGTGGAATGAATATCTAATAAAAATAGGGCCATGATTTGTCTATCCGGGAGAACGCTTTTGCCTCAGGATCCTATTTTGATGGCTCGGAGCCGTTTTCATATTTTAGAAGCCCGGTGGGTGTATGAAATGGCCAAAATTTAACTGAGGGGCCCCGCGACCCACAGGAAGGGGAAGAGGAAAGACATGACCCCCCCCCCCCCTCCCGCCCACCCCCACTCCTCGCTGGCTACACTATTGTGCCTCTTCAAGTTTAGAGCACAAAAATCACTTAGAGGCCCCTCTGGAATCAACACGAGCATGGGTAGCAGTGGAATATAGGTGGCCGCTGGAACCAATCAAAAACAGACAGTAAAACATGGGTGGTCGCAAGGAGCTCAGTCTCATGGACGGGACCGTCGAAGACGTCGGGCCCTCTCTGGAAGACTCTCAGGCCGTGCACCTGCTCCGATCATGGAAAACTCTATGTATTGTCTTTGCTAGTTTGCGTATATGTCAGACATCTGAGAAACGATGTAGCCTTTTCGTGTAACACCATAGTGAGTTTCGTGCCTATCATGCATGCGAACAAAATGCAGTTTGAAAGCTAACTCTGTTACATTTGCCTAAAATTTGCCTCTTCTGAAGTCTCAGCGTGGGGTAATAAACAAAAATCGACCAACATGCCAGGCGGGAGTATTTTTTCTTATCTGTTTGATCACTGACTGTTATCCAATAGTCGTTCACTCGTTCCGCGTCACTCGTTCCGCGTTCGGGCTTTGGTGCGCGCCTACGACGAAGGCCACATGGCGCCCATCACCCGTTCAGCGGTCGTACTGGTACAAACGGGCCTCGTGGACATGTAATACCCCGCATGATTAGGCATACAGCACCAATATTTAGATAGCGTTCGTGCATTCTAACGTTTATTAAATTAAGAAGAAGTTATTTTGAGAGCACGCGTACATTTGGTGCATATGGACTGTGCCACAGATGTACTAAACAATGCCACCATTCGCTACATACAAGCCGGCCACTCGGTATCACGTTTGCCGTCCGAAGGAGGCTAAATAGGGTCCGTGCGGACGACGGCCTAGCACGTCCCCCACCAGCCCTCGTTCTACAGCCCGCCATCAGCTGAGCGCGCCAGGGGAAGCGCGGTACCTTCGTGGACCTTCATGGACCTGGCGCGGAATATTGTAACCGCTCTTTGGCTACATCGCGTAAAGAGGCAGCAGCAGCTACCAGGATTTTTCACTAGCTGGTAATTGGCTGCCGTTCAGTTCCAACGCACTTCAAACCTCCAGAACCTCATTCGTGGTGGTGCTGTTCTCATGGTCGCTTCATAGCCTGGTCTGAATTCAAATTCAAAATACAGCATGTACACATATCCAGCTCCACACTGATAAGTCCATCCTGAAAACATGTGTTTGTACCGCTGTATTTGTCAAACGTCGCTGCAAAAATGACGAGGTTTAAAGAACCACCTACCCTATACAGTGCGGTTACAGCTACCATCCGTTACAGCCCAGCCAGAATATGCAACGATTTCGGCTGTTATCTTCGTACAGGTGTGTTGGAGAAGAAAAAAGCTGAACCATTTGCAGATGGACACGTCCAAATATGTCTTTACGCTGCAACACTAAATATGGCCATGTGTTTATGCAAAGTTCTCACAAATGATGAGAAGTTGTATTCCTACATGAGAAAGGCAGCGATGCTCCCTACTTCCAAAATAAACAAGTTGTTTCGGTTTTGAAGGCACCCGTACCCAGTCCTCACCGACTCAGACTAGCTGGGCCGCCACACTCCAGCGGCGCACTCTCACCTGAAGGGTCACTCGCGTCCAGTCCTCACCGACTCAGACTAGCTGGGCCGCCACACTCCAGCGGCGCCCTCTCACCTGAAGGGCCGCTCGTGTCCAGTCCTCGCTGGCTCAGACTAGCTGGGCCGCCACACTCCAGCGGCGCCCTCTCACCTGAAGGGCCGCTCGTGTTCCGTATCGCTGGCTCAGACTAGCTGGGCCGCCATACTCCAGCGCCGCCCTCTCACCTGAAGGGCCGCTCGTGTTCCGTATCGCTGGCTCAGACTAGCTGGGCCGCCATACTCCAGCGGCGCACTCTCACCTGAAGGGTCGCTCGTGTCCAGTCCTCGCTGGCTCAGACTAGCTGCGCCGCCATACTACAGCGGCGCCCTCTCACCTGAAGGCCGCTCGTGTCCCATATCGCTGGCTCAGACTAGCTGGGCCGCCATACTCCAGCGGCGCACTCTCACCTGAAGGGTCGCTCGTGTCCAGTCCTCGCTGGCTCAGACTAGCTGGGCCGCCATACTACAGCGGCGCCCTCTCACCTGAAGGGTCGCTCGTGTCCAGTCCCCGCTGGCTCAGACTAGCTGGGCCGCCACACTCCAGAAGCGCCCTCTCACCTGAAGGGTCGCTCGTGTCCAGTCCTCGCTGGCTCAGACTAGCTGGGCCGCCACACTCCAGAAGCGCCCTCTCACCTGAAGGGTCGCTCGTGTCCAGTCCTCGCTGGCTCAGACTAGCTGGGCCGCCACACTCCAGAAGCGCACTCTCACCTGAAGGGTCGCTCGTGTCCAGTCCTCGCTGGCTCAGACTAGCTGGGCCGCCACACTCCAGAAGCGCACTCTCACCTGAAGGGTCGCTCGTGTCCAGTCCTCGCTGGCTCAGACTAGCTGGGCCGCCACACTCCAGAAGCGCACTCTCACCTGAAGGGTCGCTCGTGTCCAGTCCTCGCTGGCTCAGACTAGCTGGGCCGCCACACTCCAGCGGCGCCCTCTCACCTGAAGGGCCGCTCGTCCGAGTGACGGTCGCGCATGTGTTTCTGCAGTTGGCTGCGGTTGACGCCGGCGTACGAGCAGCCGTCGGTGGGGCAGGGCACGCGGAGCCGGTCGCTCGGTTGCCGGTGCGCCAACCGCACATGGTCAGCTAGCTTGTCCGGCCGGTTGTAGGTGGCGCTGCAGTCGCCACAGGCGAACGTCTCCTCTGAGGGATGGGGGAGAATGAGACGAAGCAGGACGCGGTGCATATGGAGACACCCCGCTAGACAGAGGCGGGGGTCACAGGAAAGCTAGGCGCGTCCGCTGGTGGAGGCTGGGCGGTCAGAGCGCAGGCCGACCCCTCCTCTGATCAGGCGAGTGAGTTCAACGTGCAGGCGGCCGTCTCGCTTTCGAAGGCGGCAGGCTGACCTCGATCCCGCAGGCACAGAGGTAGCACTAGCGAGGTTCAAGAGGCGTGGAAAAACGCACGGAAGCAACATCACGCTAACATGACGGCTAGATCACAATATCTGGTGGCCTCATTCATGAAAACACTTCAAGGCCGGAGAGGAGCAAAAGGACTGAAAGAATGCTGGCACACAAAAACGCCCCAAGGAACGATCACCCGAGACACCGTTTATGCACCAAAGCCGCTCTTATGGCACGATTTTCGCCAAGCACCGGAAGGTTTGTTTCATCCACCACGCAGGCGACACCCAGACCACACTGGATGACACTCGCCACTCACTTAAATGCTTGAACTGGTGGCGCCTGAGGTCCTTGGGGAAAGCGCAGCGGTGACCGCACGTGTCGCACACGTACTTCCTCGCGCGCGTACGCTTCTTGGGCGACGGGCCGGACGCCGCCGGCGGTGCGTGTCTCTCGTCGGGCGGGGCGGCGGCAGGCGTGACCGGCTGGCGGGCGGCGGGCAGCGCCGCGGACCGCTCGTTGCCGGCCGCCGCCAGGCCGGGGCTCGGCGCGCCCGGCCGCGCCGTGCCGGTCAGAAGCAGCGGCGGCGCCAGCTGCACCAGCAGCTGCAGGCCGGTGCCCGGGCACGCGTCGGCCTCCGTCGGAGCCGGCGAGCCGGCGCGTGCGTCATGGCCGGGGTCACGGTTACGGTCAGCTGCGGGGGCGAAGTCCGAGGCGGCGACGGCGGCGCGCGCGTCCGCGATATCGGTGCTGCGACCGAAGCAGGGGTCCGCCTCGCAGCAGCCGGGGCCGGAGCCAGAGCCAGAGCCAGAGCCGGAGCCGGAGCCCGAGACGGAGCCGGAGCCGGGCACGGTCGCGGGGAGCAGCACGGTCCTGGTGGCGCCGGACGCAGGCAGCTGCAGAGCCGGCCTGCCCTCGGGCAGCGGCTCCGAGCCCGGTGTGACGCCCGGCGCGCCCAGCGGCACGCCGGCTCCGTGGAACGTCACGGCCGGCAGGTACGTGCACTCGCTCACGGCGTCGGCGACCGGACAGCCGGTGGGGTCCACCACGGGTGCGAGCAACGCCGGCGCACTCGTGGCGTGATAACCAGCTGCCTGGCTGACCTGGCCCTTGACTGCACCATTGCACAGCGCGGGTATTGCCTGGGCGCGATAACAACGGATAGTGTTACGAAAGAGGTCGCTCAGTGGCACGTAGCCGGGCATACGCAAGCAAGCAGGCAACGGACCACAGCACGTTTGAAATTGCATTTCAATAATCGAGCTGGAGGAAAAGCACAGGACGCAAGTCAACGACACACTTAGTCTCGGGGCATAAAACATTTTTGGCATGTGTATCACGGACAACTGAGCACCTTCAAATAAGCAGAAGACATACAAACAACAACGTTCACATCGATGGACTCTCATAGCAGATATACGGAAGCATTTGGTCATAGTTTTTCATAGGGCGGTGACAACAAAAACATCTCACGTTATTAAACTGTGCCTGCGTCGCTGAGGACATGCAGTGGCGCGTCCGGTGCACAGCAAAGGCGAAGACGGTAGAGAACTGGACTTGGCAATGTCCACATAAGTGAAGGTCCCCCTCAACATCGACCAGGCCTGTGTCTGGCTCCAGCGATATCTTCATCTCCAATGTTGCTTCAGGTCGATGTCTTTGGTAACATCAGAACACACCTGAAAGCAGACGTATTCTCAAACAAGACGAATTAAGGTAAACAGAATGGTGAAACTGTCACACAAACATCCTGTGGGTGGTTTTCTATGCGGTTTTTAACTGAAACAGCTAGTTTAAAGGTAATTCCCTGCAGCTTAAGACCATGGTCTTTTTATACCCATGATCTCTTTAAGACTTCAACCTCTTTGTTCGCGCGCTAAATACACGCGAACTGACAGCCTAAATTGCATCATCTATTGGGAAGTCACCCACACATGTATGACGTCATGGACGCCTTACGCGAATACCCCTTTGTTATTGGCTCTAGTATGCTCATTGTCAGGACAAATTACGTTCAATGGAGTATTTGCATGTGCAGTGGAGCCGCGACAAGAGTCAGACAACTTGTAAACAATCGGCTGACAGTCAAACTGGCCTGTCAAATACATATTTCGATCACGAACGGCATGTTGAGACAACTAACACAGGCATTTGGACCAGCAATAATTATGACGGACATGATGCTGAAAACCGGAAAACTTGGCAATAGCGGCGTAACGGAAAATGCAATTTTAAGTAAAAAACATGCAGTCCTGAAAAATATACGAGAAAGTCCAAAAACACACACACACACATAACGCCCGTAAGATTAATTTTCACACGTAGAATAGCAACGCCGCCTTACGACGCGCAGAAGCACCGCAAGTCAATCATGCCGCCCGCTACATCGGCAACTCTGACATGGCGCCCTGGCAGCGACACTGACGTCATAAAATCGTTGCAAGGCGTGATGAAATGTTGGTGTATTGAGGGGCATATCTACTAAAAGAGCAACATATTGTTATTTAAAGCAGCCTGTTACACTTTGAAGCATACCAATAGCTACGAATGAGGTTTGTCATACCTGATTTTTCTTGCCTCACGTGTTCAAAAGCAGAGCATTCCTTTTAAATGACTATGCCAGCATGAACATGGCGAAAATTTATGAAGACCCCGCCCAATAGACACGTTCGGAATTCGGGTGTAGCTTAAGAACGGACAATGTTCGTCCAAAGAACTGCGGAGGTCCCGCCAAATTCGCAGCGCCTTTTGTTCTCAAGCCTTTGGTGGAAAAACCGCTGGTATGCGCACATAGTAGTCCCCGAAAGATGTGCCTCTCCTCCCCCCCCCCCCCCCACCACCACCTAAACCAAATTCATTGCATGCATTTATGTGTGCGAGACTAGATGTTGGGCAGCTCAAGTTTCCCGCAAGACACGTGAAAAGTGAGAATGCCAAAAACATGCCATCCCTGCTTACAACACACAAAGAATTGCGCGCGCCACCGACGAACCAAACACACTTCTCAGTAGAGTTGCGTGAGCCGTCTGTACTCCCATCATGGGTATCCTGAGTACGCCCTTGAGTGAATGACGTTTATCGCTGCCCCTCGTCCTATGTTTGCGTACACCGTGTTAAAGCCGTGCACGTGTTACACTTGTGCGGGCGTGTTATTCCAGTGCAGTCCATAACACATGGCAAGTGATGTGGTTCTGGTAGAGCTACAATGCGCTACAACCGAGCTGCTGTTAGCTCTCCCTCTGGCCGTCCCATTCATGGGTGAAAATCTCGTATGGCAGATGTGACAGCGGCCATGACGCAACTTGTATTGAAATTCATGCTTTTAAACAAGTTCACATTCAAAATACCAACGGTCCCAGCTTTGTCGCACTTCCCTTTTACAACATCCCTGCTCAGCTGCGTGGGAGTAACTTTCGCCGAGAGCTTAAACACACCTGCTCCCATTGTGTCGGTGCGTACGCCAAGAGCTTATGAAACCCAACCACGTCATTCCCATGACGAAATCTGAGCGCTAAAGAAAAGCACGTTAAAACACCTGACATATCTGCAGCCCTGTTCGCCTCGTCGCACCGACTTGCGCAGAGACTGCAGGCATCGCGACCAAACATCGCCCCGTCGCCACAGCAAAGTTTCATTGGCTGCAGTAGCGTCCCAATAAAAAGGCGGACGTTTGGTGGCCGAAACGACGAACACGTTGTGCAATAGCCAAACCTTGGCTACAAAGTCGCATGATCATCCTGCAAATGCTAATGGGAGCACGATATCTTGTCCCTCTGTTCCCACGGGGCCGCTCTTCTATTGCTCAGCCTGAGCAGCCGGCTGTCAGCAGACCTTCTGTAGACAGTCGGTCTTGCATCCACAGACTAGACACACTGAATTGACCCAAACCATGTGACAGGTCTGGTCCATGCAATGTGTATTAGGTGTGTACGACTAGACAAGATGAGCAATTACATATTAGATGTAACTTTCATTTACTTAGTCCAGGCAGATCACAACCCGCCACGCATTCCCCGCAAGAGTTGATGACCCCGTATGGTCGCATCACCACCGATCAGTTCGTAAATATTGAAGGTGTCGATTCACGTAACAGCTCACACACCCCGCTGACTTCGATGCGCCAGTTACCATCGTAAAATCACCGCTGTTTCGCAAAGCTCTCGATGTATTTGATGCGAGGACAAAAGCTGTGAAGCTTTCTCCGGCAAGTTCTAGCCACATTCATCGTCGTGATCTTGCAAACATTTTTTTTTTCTGCTTTCGTGTCGAAATACAGCTCCGCCAACCGCATAGCTCTGAATGCTTGCATAACCAAACCATCGCTGGCTGCGGCGGCACTGTCTGAATCGCCATATTTCCTTTCTACCTGAAATAATTCCACAACGCAGAACTAGCACTCCAAACATGCAATAGGCAAGAGCCCGTCAGGAGTCAGTGCAGACAAGCAACGTATGCATCTTTCCGAGTAGTATGAGGTAACGAATTACTGGAGTCGTTTCAACACATTAAAGACAGCGACGACGTTACATTTCATAGAAGCATGTCACAAAGGCTTCCCGGAATACATTTTGAACGATTTTGAACACGCTGCTGAAACGTTGGGACCTGGGCTTACGTCATTTTACACATGTGAAGTTTTTGACCTTGCTGGCTCATGATATATGAACTATTTTGCAAGGTCATGCTGGTGATATTTTGTCACATGCTACAAATCACGCCTGTTTCTCGCAGAAAATGCACTTCAAAGATAATCTTTAAACGGACTTCCCACATGTAACAATCTGACGACCTTTGCTGCCATTATTATAATTTTGGCAAGGTCATGTCATCCCAAGGTCCACCTGCGTGAAACAGTTGCCTTTGTAGCCAGATTTGACCCTTGGACGTCATGTTGTTCAAATGTTGATGGCGCACAACATACAGCTTTGAAAAGCCTTTCAAAGGAGGGCTTTCCAAAGGCTTAGGGCTTGTTGAATAGGCAACCAGTTTAAGGATTATCTTCGAAGTGCATTTCCCACAGAACTAAGCGTCATTTGTCACGCGTGACAGTACGTCACCGGCATGACCTTTCCAAAGAGTTCACATATCATGAGCCAGCGATGTCCGAAGGCTCGGGACTGATAGTGTAGTGATGATACAGATAGTGAAATACAAAAAAAAAAAACAGGTGGTGAAAGCCTTTCTTATCGTGAGGTGTGGGAGTTTCACTGAAGTGTGATTCCAATAAGTCCCACGATCGGTAGACATTTTACTTAACGAGGTAAGACCACGGCAAAAAGAGCGACAAATGCAAGAAATTTCCACCACTTGCATCCACTACTCCATTGTGAAATCCTTCACTCACACCTACTAAACATGTTGCGACCGCAACCAAAAGCGCTGGCACGGCCGCTCAGACACTGCATGCGGACACTCGCAATTCAATACCATGTCCATGGTTGACCTTTGGAAGACGTGACCTTTGAAGAAGAGTTGACCTTTGGAAGTCCGCTGCATGCAAGTCTCATCAACATTACGGCACATCAGGGCACCAGTTATTTTTAGGCATCAGCACCATTGGGGATTTACAACTCAGCTGCCCCGGCTCTATGGCGTCGCCTGCCGCTCACCCTGGCAGGAAGGGCGGGCACCGCGGGGAATCGAAACCCGTATCTCTGGTTTCCCAGACGC